GGAATGTGAGACTGAGGCTCTATGAGATACTTGGCTAAAAATTTTCATACAGCAAATACTCCTGGGTATGTGTACCCAGAATTAAGTACAATTCTATTATGGACTGAATTGTGTTCCCCCAAAAGTTTAACGTGTTGGAGGCTTGGTCCCCACTGTGACAGTGTTAAGATGGTGGGAAATCCTATTACAGTAATCTAAAGGTGGGGCCCTGAAGAGATGATTAGATCATAGGACCATGCCATAGTGAATGGATTAATAATGGTGGTCAGGGGCAGGGTTCAGAGGGCTTTAAAAGGAGAGCATGTGAGAATCTTTGTCTCTCTCTCCCCTCTGCCATTCTCGCTGTGACACCCTGCACTGCTGTAAAGCCACCACCAAAGAAGACCCTCACCAGATGTGTTCCCGGGTTCAGAGGGCTTTAAAAGGAGAGCATGTGAGAATCTTTGTCTCTCTCTCCCCTCTGCCATTCTCACTGTGACACCCTGCACTGCTGTAAAGCCACCACCAAAGAAGACCCTCACCAGATGTGTTCCCTGGACTTTGGATTTCCCAGTCTCTGAAACTGTAAGCAACAAATTTCCTTTTCTTACAAAGTACCCCGTTCCAGGTATTTTGTTATAAGCCACAGAAATGGACTAATACAAATTCTAAAGATACTAGGAAATTTCTCACCTTTTTTAGTCAGGAAGGTATACTGAACACAAGTAAGTAAGAATGATATTATTATAGGGAAATCAAGCATTTGTTCTAAATTTAAAAATCAATAAATAAAAAGGTAAATTTCCTGCAAACTTCAGAATTTCCATCAGTTGTGAGAAACTGCCTCAGGCCTCAAATGAAGGCAATGCAAGAAAATTGTTCATCTCCTCTGCTTAGCCCTTCTGTGATACAGCAACAGCCCATTTCCCCTGCTTTCTTTTGCTACTTCTGTAGCATTGCCCAGTGTGCCCAGTGTGCTCACCTACCTACTTGCAGCTACTCAGTGATGTTAGTTTCATTCCTCCAAGCTCTTCTGTTTGCCACGAATGTCTTCCCCTTCTTTACCCAGCTAGCTGCTATTCACCCTTCAAACTCCCGTCAAGGTCATCTCCTCCAGGAAGCCTTTTTATACCAATACCCACTCACACTCTCATCTCCACTCTCCTTCCTACTCACACTGCTGGTTTCTATCTCTATTCTTTCACTGGATGGTAAGCTCCTTGGTGGCAGGACCCTACAAGACACCCCATAGGTTGGCTGCATGAATGGATAATTAATGAACAAACTCTTAGAGAAATGCTGCCTTTTAGGTTAGGCTCAGAGACAGTAAGTAACTTGCCCAAAATCACACTAGTAAAAGCCAGGACTTAAATGCAGGTCTGTGATATTTCCCTTACCATCTCACTTCCGTATGTGTCAGAGGATGCAACTTTCACTACAGGTATTTAATAACACCACCACCCTTGCTCCAAATATTCTCTTCTGGTTAATGATCTTCTTTTAGAAAGGACTACATTGCCTCCATCAACCTGAGAACGTTCTTGTAGTGTGTGACCTGCTTCCTAGGAGCCCGCACAGCCTCACTACATCAAGTACACCAGAGAGCTGTGCTGTTTTCAAGGAGCAGGGACACCTCGATTCACCTTACACAGGTACCAAGTGTTTCCTTTCAAATCAATTCCCAGCAACACACTTCTTGAAATTACATGAGCAAGAGAGAAAAACTGCTAAACACAGACTGGTTTTAAAATCTCTTTTTTGTGTGTGGCTGGCCGGTGTGTGGATCCAAACCCTTGACCTTGATGTTATCAGTACCATGCTCTAACCAAATTGAGCTAACCAGCCAGCCCTAAAATATCTCTTTACTTGCAGGAATATTCTTTAGAAAATCAAGTTTTATGGAAAAACTTGTGAAATAATTCAAAGAATAAAGTTCACCAAAGCCATCATCATTCTCTGTGATACCATCAAGGGGAATAACAAAGCTTCAATTACTGGCACATTTTGTCCTACTTGTCTCATTTTAATTTTAATACTTTTCCTGGTAACCTAATTGCAACAATCCCAAAAGAGTTGTTTTTAACAAGATCAGACAGGTATCACTATCCTAATGGTTTTAGAAGATAACATAATCATGGAAACGTTTACTTACGCTACAACCAAAGGTCTCGTTTAAATATACAGAAAGAAATATCATTAACTGGAATTTGGCAAAGGTATATTTCTCAGGTCCCATTTACACTATCTCAGTGAAGCACCAAACTCTGATGAAGCTTAAATGACTCAGTTAGCATCAAGAGGAGGCTTAGATGTAGAGACTTCTCTGTCTTTGGGGTCTAAGATTTTAGGAGAGCTGTGTAATAGCCAGGTATGTGGGTTATCTTAAATGTACATTAGCCAGACTTTTCTTCCTACTCCTGGACTGTCTCGGTTACCCACCTATCTACCCACTCACCAAGATCTAATTTGTATCCTCTACAATACCTGGTGTTCTGCCCTTCAACCCCCTTGTGCACACTCTAAAGGCGCGCGCGCGCGCGCACACACACACACACACACACCAGATATGGGTCTCAAAATGCACATTTTAGAGACAGAGGTCAACAGGTAGGTGCCTGAAATTGACTGGAAACCTGATCTCCAAGGTCCTCACCCTGGTGTGCCAATAACCAGCTGCCTAACATACAAGAGCCACACCTACTCTCTGAATCCAAGCTCCCTACCCCTATGCTGAGATGACAGATGTGAAAATGCTTCAAAAGGCTGAAACGATGGTGCAAAATGGAGGGTATTAAGAGCCTACAGCATCCCATGTTATTCCAAGGTGCTGAGGTGTGGACCAGGTCACGGGTGTTATTTGTGCAGGGGCAGGTTTGTGTGGGGGTGAGGTGAGAAGGCTGAAAGGCCTGCTCAGCCGGGACTCTTATTTGTGGAGGCAGCTTCCTCTGCTTTCTGTCCTGTTCGTCTGCTGGGAAGTATAAAAGCACTCCGGTCCTCCCCAGTCTCTGGTCCCTGCCATAAGCTTCAGGTGCTCACTCTTTCCTTATAGTTAACATGAGAGAGGGATGTAATCACAGACTCTGAATGAAACCTTCAGTTGTAGTTCACTCAGATATTACTCCTGGTCCAAAGAAAATTGGGGACAGCCAATGGAAAAATGTACATAAAAAAAATTATAGCTACTTTTATGTGTGGGCAGGCTATTTTGGGGGTTAAGCTTTGCTTTGCTTTTTTTTGAAGCACCAGACTCCATTCCTTCATCCTTCTGTGATGCACCTGGGCTATCTTTCAACTCTCCCCTATTTTTTTTTTTTTTGTCTTTTGTCTTTTTTCCGTGTCCGGCAACGGATCGCAAGCCTCAGTGTTGCTCCCGCACCTCGCTCAGCCAGTGAGCGGGAGCCGGTCTGTACGTGGGATCCGAACCCTCGGACGGGAGCGCCGCTGCGCTTCCCAAGCGGCGCACTATCCAGTGCGCCACCGGGCCGGCCCATCAACTCTCCCCTATTTTGACCTTGGGGTGAATACACAGAGAACAATCACTAACTTAATCTGTTTCTAGGGCCGGCCCGGTGGCGCACTGGGTAGTGCGCCGCTTGGGAAGCGCGGTGGCGCTCCCGCCCGAGGGTTCGGATCCCACATACGGACCGGCTCCCGCTCACTGGCTGAGCGAGGCGCGGGAGCAACGCCGAGGTTTGCAATCCCGTTGCCGGTCCCTGGTCCGGTACGGGGGCAACACTGAGGGTTGCGATCCGTTGCCGGACACGGAAAAAGACAAAAGACAAAAAAAAAAAAAAATCTGTTTCTATAATATACACGCAGTTTGATAATACTAAGGGAGATATTCAACTGTAACCATATTATAATGATACTTTATAGTAGTCTGTGGTTTATGAAGCACTTTCACAAGCATCATTTTATATGACTTCACAACAGCTTACTGAGGATAGTGTAATAAAGCGATCTGCATTTTACAGGTAAGGGCAGAAAAGCTCGGAGGTGATCTCCCCCAGGTTAAAAATAAACGGAAGAGAGCCTGGCTGGTTAGCTCAGTTGGTTAGAGTGGAGTATTTTAACACCAGGGTCAATGGTTTAGATCCCTATACCAGCCAGCTGCCCCTAACTAACTAAATAAATTCAGCAAATCACATGCCAGCTTCTGCAAGTTTTTTGGAGGGAGGGGAGGGGCATGGAGCAGGGCATGGCCGGCCAGTACAGGGATCGAACCTTGGACTTTGGTGTTATTAGCACCATGCTCTATCAACTAAGCTTTTTTTAAAGGCAGTTAATGTTTAGTTAGAAAAATATTACTTGGCGGGGCCGGCCTGTGGCTCACTCGGGAGAGTGCGGTGCTGATAACACCAAGGCCACGGGTTCGGATCCCATATAGGGATGGCCGGTTCGCTCACTGGCTGAGCATGGTGCTGACAACACCAGGTCAAGGGTTAAGATCCCCATACCGGTCATCTTTTAGAAAAAATTAAAAAAAGAAAAAAGAAAAAAATTACTTGGCGATTTAAAATACTCAAGTTCTATTTCATGCTATTGTAATTTACAAAATCTATAACAAGCAAGGGCTGATATATTTTAAGGTAATTCCTCTGCCTAGTTGAAGAAAAATCCTAAGACATTTATTCAAATTTCTCAACTGTCACAATGTTAGAAATATAGAATTGTACAAGTGGCTGTGTTTGTATGTTGCTTAACCCTCTAGGTCACGGGTCTTCCTTAACAATCATCTTTCCTTACTGGAAAGTAAACCAGCTACTATGAAAACAACATCTGTGAGGCTTTGGGAGCAAAAAAAGAACAGGCAGGATGAGAATTTGGGAGAAACAAGGAATAGGAAAGGACAAAAGAATAATGTGAAATACTAACAGTGCACCTTCCCAAATCACCCAGTTCTCTAATTCCCATGAAGATAACCATAAATGAGCAGCCATTACTTTACAGAAACTAAATTAAAACTAAAAATGAAAACCAAATGTCAAAGAACCCAAAAAGCCAATCTTAATGCATTTTACCTCTAATGCCAAGGCAGTCTTGTCATAAGCACAGGGCACTCTTTTCTGGATTGCTTTTGCAAAGACAGGTCCATTCTGTGTAGATGGCAAAGGATTGATTGCTGCCCCAGGAGTACTGGAAACTGCAGGTAGAGGAGTTGTGGTCTGAGGTTGAGCATATGCATGAGCGGGTTCAGGGATCCCGTAACTGTTGGAATTCCTATTTCCATGCTTTCCATGTGGTGAGGATCTCACAAGCTTTTCAACATAAGGGACAGGAATCATCCCAACACGGCCATCCTTGTTCCGGGCACTCCACCACTGTTCTTCAGGCTTCTCTATTATCACCAGGATCTCACCCTTTTTAAAGGGCAAGTCTTCAGCATCATTCCCAGGAAAATCATAGAGAGTCCGTACATATTCCAGATTTTCTTCTGCTGTGGGCAGGTTAGGTGCTGAGACAGATCCCATTGGTGGGTTTGGATACCTCAAGAGAGAAAAAAAAATTACTCTAAGAGAAAAATCTTACCCTACTCCAGTATTTGTCAAACTTCTTAAAAAACTACTCTCCACTATAATGAATTATTTCCCTCTCTATATTCTCGGTAGTTAAAAATGTCATGTTGTACTTTCTGTAGTTTGTACCGTAACAAAACAATATTCTGAGTATGCCTTTTCAAATTACATGTCAAGTACAAACACACACACACACACACACACACACTCCTTTTGTTTACACACACAGACTATCTGGTTTGAACTTATTATTTAGATTTTGAGTTAAGTTCAGTAGCTGCCTTCCTTTGGACCCTGTTACAACCATCACACGCTCTTCCTCCCAGTCCTAATCTATGGCTCGCATCCTGCACACAGAGAGATGATGACAAAGGTCTCTGGTCCCTCAAAATATAAAACCAGAAAAGGACTTATATGCTTGCCAAAATAAAAAAATAAACCTCAGGGCCGGCCCGGTGGCGCACTGCTACAGTGCGCCGCTTGGGAGTGCAGTGGCGCTCCCGCCGAGGGTTTGGATCCCACATACAGACCGGTTCCCGCTCACTGGCTGAGTGAGGTGTGGGAGCAACACCGAGGGTTGCGATCCCGTTGCCGGTCCCGGTCCGGTACGGGCGCGACACTGAGGGTTGCAATCCGTTGCCGGACACGAAAAAAGACAAAAAAAGGAAAAAAATAAATAAATAAACCTCACATTTCATCTCATACAGGTATTACCATCTGACCATCAAAATGAACACCTGTGGGGGCCGGCCTGGTGGCGCACTGGATAGTGCGCCGCTTGGGAAGCGCGGCGGCGCTCCCGCCCGAGGGTTCGGATCCCACATACAGACCGGTTCCCGCTCACTGGCTGAGCGAGGCGCGGGAGCAACACCGAGGGTTGCGATCCCGTTGCCGGTCCCCGGTCCGGTACGGGGGCAACACTGAGGGTTGCGATCCGTTGCCGGACACGGAAAAAGACAAAAGACAAAAAAAAAAAAATGAACACCTGTGAAGTTTTCAGTGCAAAACTCACAGGCAAGAGCTTTCATCTAAGCATCAGTCCACAGGCACCACCACAACCTTTGCTGTACTCAGATTCAATGTGTATTTGCTGAGTGCTAGTAGAATGCACTCCCAAAGTCAGCTACAAAAGCACAGTCCCTGCTCTCCAGCAATATCCTGTCTGCAAAAGAAGTACAGAAATCTCTCTTCACCTAAAAAATGTTCTGAAAAGTAACAAATACACCAAGTTTTAGAAAAACTTTTTCTCCCCTTAACTTTTCTGAAGCACTGAGTCTACTCTAGATTAACCAATACTGGGCCTCAACTAGAGTCTTCAACTCTTTAGGGGATGGCTTCACCTGCAACACCATCACTGGAGCCTGGTTCTAGAACAGCTCCGAGGGAGTATGCTAGTATGGGATATTCCTGTTTAGCCAATGACATATAGTTCCAATTTGTTTTCTCTTCAATTAGCTCATGGTCATTTTCCTTCTTCCTTTTTCTTTCTTTCCCTCAATTAATGATACAAAAAGCATTTCATATAACAGGGTAATCTTCTATGTTGAAGCATTATCAGCTCCCAGCGCCGCACTCTCCTGAGTGCGCCACGGGCTTGGCAGTTGAAGCATTATAATTAAAAAAAAAATTTCGGGTTGGCCTGTGGCTCACTCGGGAGAGTGTGGTGCTGATAACACCAGGGCCATGGGTTCGGATCCCTACGGAGGAATGGCTGGTTAGCTCAGCTGGGAGAGCGTGGTGCTGACAACACCAAGTCAAGGGTTAAGATCCCCTTACCGGTCATCTTAAAAAAAAAAAAAAATGTTTCCTTTATAAAAAATGTCAACATATTAAAACATTCAGTTTTAAAAGAGAGAGAGAGAGAGAGAGAAATCCCATAGTTCCTGCCCTAAGGAAACTACAATTATCCCTTTCCTTTATAAAAAATGTCAACATATTAAAACATTCAGTTTTAAAAGAGAGAGAGAGAGAGAGAGAGAAATCCCATAGTTCCTGCCCTAAGGAAACTACAATTATCCCTCCCTTCTTCTCTTCTCCCACTGGCCCCGTTTATGGCTTTCTTAAGAGAGTCCTATATATACCTGGGGAGGTTTTTCTGCCTAAAATCACGGCACAGGTGTTTTCCCACATTCCTACGTCTTAATGATCACTTTCATGGCAGAGTGACATTTCATTCCGTGAGCCTACTTCAATGAAGCATTCCCTGAATATTTAGTTTTTCTATTTCTCCCTATTTAACCATAAATTTTGCAAACCCTTTTGAGCATTATTTTCCCTGTATCAGACTTTTTATAAAGTCTAGACTCCAGAACTGGAATTACCAGATTAAAGAACATGAACATTTTTTATGGCCCTTGGAACATATTGCCATACTGCTTTCCAAAAGGGAGCCTTCATTGTAGTCAGAATACCATGGTGATTAGGAGGAGCTTGATTAAAAACCTCAAAGGACTTGTTACTTATCAACAACCTTATAACCAAGAGCAAACTGTTTGTTATCAGTACACCTAAAAAACAGATAGTAGGAGCAGCAGTGATAGTAATAGAGTTAATACTTATCTATGACAGACACTGTCTGCACTCTTTGAAGACATTAAATTATTTAATCCTTACAGCAATCCTGTGAGATAGGTGTTGTTATTATCCCTATTTTATAGATGAGTAAGCCAAAGCAGGGGTCACATTTGCACTCAGTCAATCTGGTTCTAGAGTTCTCACAAGCTCTAAGCTAATCAGCCTCAGGAATAAACCCTACTCCTTTCAGGTATATGAGAATTAATGTCATAATGCGTGTGAAACATTCACAATTCCTAACCTGCACCGAGCATCCAATTAGCACGTGTACACACACACACACATACATCCCCCCCACTTTCCTGTGAAAAGTTTGGTGACTACCATATAAATTTCAGACACTTTACTAAGGGCACAATCAGTTCCACGGTTCCATACCAGGGTATTTTATTATTTGTATAGTTAAAAGGTAAAAGCAGTTAGTTCTACAACACAGATCATGAGGACACTACTAGTACAGTTACAGTGGGGAGTAACATTAATGAAATCCATTCACTCAGGTATCCACCAGCCCAACTGTGTACTAAGTACTTAGGGGACAAAAAAAATGAATAAAGCCAAGTTCCTGCTCTTAAAAGACTGAAAATTTAGTAGAGGCATAAAGCCTGTACTAAACAAGAACACAAAGTTTAATTAATGTGTGTTACAACAGAAGTTGATAGGGTCAAGGAGCACTCAAAGGAAGGAGTGAGTTTCGCTAAGGGTCGGGAGAACAAGGCAAGGAGGTGATGCACAAAAACTGCTGAAGACCAGATCCCCTCAAAGTTGAAGGATTTTGTTGAAGACATGTTTACATATTTGATTCTGCATTAGAAATAGACCAGAGCCTCAAATTCTCCCTTCCCCAGCTGCCTTCGATTGAGTGTCCCCCTCAAAACTTGACACTAACTGTGAAAGTGTCAAGAGGGTGGGAAATCCTATGAAGGTAATTGAAAAGTGGGGCCTTGAAGAGGTGATTAGGTTGTAGGACCTAATGGATTTTAATCCATGGTGAATGGATTAAAAATGGTGGTCATGGGCTGGTTTGGAGGGATTTAAAAGGAGAGTGAATGAGGAGGTTACTCTTGCTCTCTCTGCTGCACCATTTTCTGCCATGTGAGCCTCCTGAATTGCTGTAAAGCCATCACCAAAGATCCTCACCAGATATGTTCCCTGGACTTTGGACTTCCCAGCCTCAGAAACTGTAAGCAATAAATTTTGTTTTCTTATATGTTACTCAGTTCCAGGTATTTTGTTATAAGCAACATAAATGGCCTAATACAGATGATTGGTACCAGAGAAGTGGGGTGTTGCTTATAACAAATACTTGAAAATGTGGAAGCAGCTTTGGACACGGGTATTGAGGATAGGCTGGAGGAATTTGGAGGAATAGACTAGGAAAAGCCTAGATGCTGGTGAAAGTTTAGAAGAAAACCAGGGAAAGTTTGGAATGTGTTAGAGGCTGGTTAAATGGTGGTCAGGAGCATGGTTATGAGGGCTTTAAAAGGAGAGTAAATAAGGAGGTTAGTCTCTCTCTGCTCCACCATTTTCGCAGTGTGATACTCTGCCATCACTGTCCCCACCACCAAGGCTCTCACCAGATGTGTTCCCTGGACTTTGGACTTCCCAGCCTCAGAAACTGTAAGCAACAAATTTCATTTTCTTATAAATTACCCAGTTCTGTGTATTTTATTATAAGCAACAGAAACGGACTAATACATCAGCCTCCCCGCAGCCCATATAGCTGGTTCCCACAGGCACAGACCAGGAGCTCGGCTGGACAAGGCTTTCCTTCTGTAAAGGGACAGATGGTAGGCATTTTAGGTTTTACTGGCTATATATGGTCTTTGTCACATATTCTTTTTTTAAAACAACACTTTAGAAATGTAATAACCATTCTTAGCTCCAGTACACCATACAAAAAGTTCCTGTGAGTCTGGCCCAGGGGTCTGCAAACTATGGCCTGTGGGCCATATGGCCTACTGCATGGTTTTGTAAATAAAGTTTTATTAAAACATAGCCAAGTCCATTCATTAATGTATTGTCTAAGTTGGTCAGGGACTATATGGCCCACAATGCTTAAAATACTTACTATCTGTTCCTTTACTGAAAAGTTTGCTGAACCCTGGGTTAAAGGAGGCAGATGGTGCTTTTCTGCTTCTCTGGTGAGAGGGTGTTTTTGTGTACAAATCTGATAAAGATGGAATATGGCTTATAGTTTTTCTCCACTATTATACTGCTATAGTGACCTTAGGGCTCATTTTCTGATTTAGTACTTGCACAGATATTCCTAAACTTGACACCAGATCAGTCTCACCAGCCAAGCCCTTGACATAAATTCAAAGCCTTCCACTCCATATTCTCACTCATTTATTCATCAAAATCCCCTGCAAGGCACATATTAGTTCCTCCGAAGAG